TCATTCTTCATATGTTTTAGCCTCCAGCCTCCTAATCATCTTTGTTTATTAGTTTTACACTACCTTGTTTCCTTTTTCTTTGGCCTTACTAGATAGATCCTGGACCTTCCCAGCATTTAACTGGCACAAGAACAGTGTTAGGAACTAAAATATAAGCATTGTTCAAGTCCTTTTCCTACTTATTAATGTAGGTCACAGCTTCTGGAGCCTTTGAAGGAAAATGTGAATTAGAGGTTTTGCTATAATTTAAGTTGTAGACATCGAGGAAGGAACATATAGCTAAAGCATAGATTCTGACAGCAGAATTAAAACAATTCGTGAAACGAATTGAAAGAACTTTTATTGTTTTTTGTGTCCCCTGACTAATTTGTTGTTGGGAATGTTAATGAGGAGACTGATGATGAATGTTGCAGACCAACACTGTTACAAGTCAAAAGAATATACCTGTGCCATCCTTACAATGAGAATGGATAATAAAATAGAAAGTACAAAGAGAATTAGTGGATCAGATCGGTAGTAGAGCAGATTAATGATAACCGTGGCAATAATCTAACCAGGTAATGTAGATGACATACTGTGATGTCTATTGTTGTCAGCTTCTTATATGGGTTAAAAATGAATATGCAGACATGTAAATTCATTAAATTTGTAAAACATGAGCTACTATGACATTCTTTCTTCAGCAGTTGTTCTATAGGAAATAGTTCTCATCTTATTCACAACTCTTAGATAGAAAGAAAATGGTGGTTGGATTACTTGGGTTATTCTTATAGTGTCACTACCATCAAACATCCTTCCTATTCATTCCAGGTTCTTCTTAATGTTGAATGGAAAAAGAAAGAACTTAATTTTTTTTTGAAAGGATCAAATATTCATACTGAAAGACAGGATGTTTGTATTTTTACAATTTATTATGGTTCTCAAATACAGTTATGCTGAAGCAGTTATATCAACTGAGGAAAAGTACAGCAGCAGTGGTACAGGATCACTGCAGGGAGCAGTTCTGACTGAGATCTACATTGATATGACCACTATTTTGTAAACTGGTGTGTTGGGATTCAACTTCAAGTCCAAGAAGTTCCAACCATCTTGACTACTACCAGGAGATTCTGGGAGCTATAGCTCCAACAAATCCAGAAGAAACTAGACTTCATAGATGCTTAGGACTGGGAGTCAAAAAAGTCAAGATAGTGGCCACGGTCATGCTATTGAAGCCCTAATCTTTTTGTGTATAGTGTATATAACAAAGGGGCAGAGATTTGGTCATGTGACCACAGCTGCCATCTTGATCTTTTCTGTCCCATAGGCATCCATGCTCGGCTGTTATGGCTGCCATAGGGGAGTCAACATCTTTAATAGCATTCTCTGTTATAGTAGACTATGAGTGATGCATAGTTATAGTCTGTAAAAGATTTTTTTAAATGTATCAGTCCAAAATCATTAAAAAATGGGGGAACAGGAAAGATAGAGTTCAAAGCATTATTGAATCTTTTTTGCCAGTTCAATTCATTGAGATTATATATGTCACTTCAACTCACTGAGCTTATATATGCTTTGTTGTATGCTGATATAAGACATTTATCAGCTTGGCATTTCCTTGTGATAAAACATGACCGAGTCTTTCTTTCATATAAAGAAAACTATCTATACTGAAAATTTGGAAATTAGCAATTTCTAAAAAAGCAGCATCAATGGGAAATCATGAAGTTGGGGTATATGTGGCTTTGGCATAATGCGTGGCAGTTTATAACTAATGGCTTACATTTTAGTGATATGTGCAGACTAAGCCACTGTGACATAGTGGGTTTATTCAAAACATATTAACAACTCATCTGTCACCATTTACAAACCATGTGTCTTACCATGATCATCTGGGGTAAAACATATATGTTATGGATCATCAATTGCTTCTTAGGTCATTAATCTTTCTCACTTCATGCAACAGGTTTCAGAAAAATCCATTACTTTTGGTGGAGCCAGAATGATTGCTGATAGCTTTGTGAGCAATAGGTTAAAAAAAATCTTTTCATTTGAACACTTTTTAAATTCTCAGTTCCCACCCCATCTCAACTCCTTGTATTTCAAATCAATTTAGGAGCAACCAACCATATTTTATGATGATGGTAGAGAAGAGAAATGATCCTTGTTATTTCTTGCCATCTATTTACATGGCCATTTTAATTACAGGTTGAATTATCTTAAAGTGGGATCCAATTTCAAATCATGTGAATATTGTTGGCTGTAGAGTATCTAAGTCAGCTTGTTTGCATATGTATTTATATTCCACCTTTATTATTTTTTTATTTTTATAATTATAAATATTTTATTTTTATAAATAACTCAAGACAGAGAACATATCTGATACTCCCTTCTCCTCCTATTTGTCCCATAACAACCACCACCCTGTGAGGAACTGATAGAGAAAGTGTGACTGACCAAATTCACCCAGCCAGTTTTCATGCCTAAAATGGGACTGGAACTCTCATTCTCTGTGTGTTTTATACAGCCAACCTCCATCCTCTAAGCTTGTTGGCTGTCTTTAGAGAATAACAGAAACATTGTCAACACATTAATATTGAAAAAAATGAAAAAAAAAACCCTTTTCCTCATATATTCTCAGAGTGTCCTTACACAGTCAAATTTCAACTGTACTGGGAAGCTTGGGCAGGTCACTCACCTACCATATCGTCTGGAAGAAAAGTCAATCTGACATTGGTCCGAGATAAGTGCAGCAAAGTAATTCAGATCCAAAGCTGTTGGGTCCCTCTGTCCTGGAATTTCCTGTATGGACAGAGCTGGGAGTAACATCAAACATTTTAAAAGCAATGACATTTGCACCAAAGTTGAACACAACAGGAATACAGCCATGTGTTTTATGAATGGATCAGCACATCTGAAATACTACACAGTATAATTGTTTTCTTTCTTCTAAACCTCTTTGTTCAAAGGATCAGGATATCCTGGCGCTAACCACTGCTGGAAAATAATATAATTGCAACAATGGTATAATACTTAAGAAGGATTTCACTTTTTATGCCAGTTCTGTGTTAAAATGTTTAGATAAAACATGAGTTTATTCAAGGAACTATTAAAGCTATTTAATTATTTAAAACTCTTAAAGAAACACTTTAGCAAATAAATGAGAAACACTTAATAATACACCCTTTTTTTTCAGGTAGAGATGCTAAGGGTGCTTGGACCTCATGCTGTGACTGATGATTATTTTGGCATCAGTAAAATAGATGTGTGTGTGTGTTCCAATTTTTAAAACACAAGGATGTTAAAATTCAGTCCACTTTGTTTTCCTTTTTCTTCTATGAATGAAGTTCCTGTTTATTGTCAAGTGTATTTTTTTAGAAATGATACTAAGTTTAATATTAGCCTGTGTGAAAACTAAAAGTTAAACCATGAAACTCGGAAGTCAAAGTCAAAGTTAATCTCATTTTTAATTATTTGTAAAACCATATTGAAAGAAAGAAAAAAAGAACTGATTAGTTCACTCTTCCTAGAAAAAGCATAAGCAACAGAGCATTTATCTGATCACCTTCCCAGAAAGTTCTACAGCCTAGAACAGTGATGGTGAACCTTTTTTTCCTCGGGTGCCGAAAGCGTGCATGCTGACACCCATAATGCAATGCCCCCCGGTAGGCTCTGCCCCCCCATGCTTCGAGTGCATGTGTGTGCGACCCCTGTTTGGTGCTAGCAGGCCTCCCTGAAGCCTCCTGGGACCAAAAACAGGGTGCGGCGGTGTGCTGCACCCCTCACCCCCCCTGCACATGCACATGTGACCTCCCACCCCGGCACATGTGCATACGATCCCCCCTACCTCCCATGCATGCGCGCACGTCTCCTGGCAGAGACCCAAAAATTAGCTGGCCAGCGGAAGGCACGTGAGCATGTGCGGTGGAGCTGACCTGGGTGACAGCTCATGTTCCCCCAGAGATGGCTCTGTGTGCCACCTGTGGCACACGTGCCATAGGTTCTCCATGATGGGCCTACTGTAGAATGAGTAATCCAGAAGTTCTTTCTATAAGCCTGGAGATATCTTTCTGATACCACAGTAGCAGGACAAATAAAATTGGTTTACTGCAATCTGAAGTGGCATGTTTAGAAGAGAGATTGCTGCTTGAATAATCCTGTTCCCCAATCACAGAGAGTTGGATCTATCAAGCAATTTCACTAGAAATAGGTTGGTGCTTTGTTTTAAGCAAGTTTTAATAGATTCACTGTAGCTTTCTGGACTAAACAAAAGTTCAGAATACTTTTCACTGATAATCTTTTGGTCATTTTTTATTAAACATGAGTAACAATTATTAAGAAATGTGTTGTGGGTTTCATCCTTCCAAGAACCATGTCCACATGTTTCAGGCTGGACAAGTTGAAAATTATTCTTTATAGCTTGATAGGAGAAGTTGTTTCAACTAGACTTTTCAGTTGGAATCATTTCCATTTGGAATCATTTCAAGATTTTATGTGAACGGTTCACTTGGTATGATTTAGAATATTTTATTTTCATGGGCCAGAAGTTGGATGATTCTGTTATAAGACAATGGCGGCAAAGCTGCGTGAATAGAGATCCTTACCTGAATTTGCTTCTGTTCAGGAAGACTTCAGCGGTGAGAAGGCATTTTTTTTCCTTGTTCTAATTTTTTTTTTACAGTTTTTCCATAAGATCTTACTGCAAGGTATGATTTTTCACCTGCTGGTTGACCTAGGCATCTTCCCAATTTCTCTTGTCTTCAATTTTTCCCCCTTTTTAGAAACGGAACTTTAAGTTCAAAACAAATCCAAAACTGTTTGTTGGATACTGTACCATCACTGAATCCTGTGTCTTTCCTGATTCATTTCATTCACAGTTCATTCTGGAATGTGAATCAGTGCTATTTCCTGTCCAGCTGAAGAGCAGTTAAGGTTACCAACTAGCTAATCCTCTGCACTTCAGACTTGCTGCGACTGAAAACCAAACAACTAGGAAGCAAGAAAAAGAAGGGGGGGCGGGTTTAGAGACTTTTAGAATTGTACTACTTTGTGTAGAAATTCAAACACAGCTGCCTTAATATTCCCATCCTGGAGCAGTTGGTAGATGTTTTGGGAAATGGCTGTAAGGACTTGTCAAGCTAAAACGAGGTAAATTTAAGCTGGTGTTGCTGGATGGCTCAAAATTCTCTACCCCACTCTTCCAGCCCAAAAATATTGCACAGCAGAAGTTGGCAAAACTTTGGTTTCTAAAACCAACAGCTGCTTACATCCTTATGCCTAATTATCGCAGGGCTTGGTAAATAAAAGCTTCCCTGTGGATGTAATTGCATTTGCCTGGTAGTCTTAGCTGACATGGGGCAGGGCCAGGGAAGAGAAGACGAGAAGCAAAAGAAAACATTCCTCTAGTTTGGATTTTTCTTCTTCTGAGACTAGCTGTAGGCTGGGTTTAATCAAACACGGTTAACTCAAAACTTTAGAGGGAGGGAAAGGGGAAAAGGAGAACATTTGCATGCAGTTGAGGAGGAACAGCTTTGGAACCAGTCATGACTTGGAGACTCTTTGAAAGATAAATTTCAAGCAGAATTTGTTGATTCAACTTTAGGAGCAACAGGACTACTGTAAGTTTAGAGAAACTGTTAGAGACAGCTGGTTAAAGGATGTTTGGTGCTTCTACCCCTCCTGGAATTTAAAGGCAATTTTCGTCTTCCGAAGAAGCATCCATCTTTTTGAGAATGCCTGTGCTGAATAGGTTTTTCAGTGTGTCGGACAAAGGTAGGCAGTGGGGGATTGACGAAGATCGGATGCCCTTGTCCGCCGAGACCCTGCCTGTCTGTCAACAGGGAATTCTATCTTGGGGTTTGCCTGAGAAGTTCAGAATCATAAAGCTGATTTGGAAATCCAAAAATGAGCTTGCGGAGACGAAGAGGAGAGGAGTTCCGGAAAGTGGAGGGAGTACTCATGTTTTATCAGGTAAGTTTAAAATATGCAATCAAAATTATGTTGGCATGGCTTTAATAATAGGCTTGGCTTGCCCTCTCTGCAAATTCCTCCCCCACAAAAAAAAAACCCTGATATATTTGATTGTTTACTGTTTAAACCTGTGATGTAGATGAACTATACATATTCATTCTCCATTAGGGGCTAAGAGCATTGAAGGCTCTTGTGGGTTTACCATATTTACTAAAATTATATAAGACAGCATTCAAAGTCAACTTCCTTGCTGAGTCATCAATGAAGAATCAGTATTTTGTGTTCTCATAAAACTTTTATCTTATGCCACTTTCTTTAAAATACTCCCTAATGCATGTAGCAAGACTTCTTCTCAGTGAAAACACAAGCAATTGTTCTGTTAATTAACATGTTAAGAGATTAGTGCATAAATTTTGAATAGCATATTAAGAGCTACAAATGTCCTAATCCTAAAAGTGACAGAATCAGCTTTGGTGATTATTTCCCAGCATTGGAAGCTTGTTCCCTCCAACCAAAACCTTAATGAGCTCCTGAACTAACAAAGATAATGAGCAAACAAAAATTTAGTAATTGGAGGATTAAAGGGGAAATATAATGGAATCAAATTAATTTTAAAAATCTCTGGTAATAATATAGCAAAATTAAGTATGTGTTTAACTTATTTCTGCTGCAATTAGTACCAGAATGATCAACATTTCCTAGATTATATTCAGTTTTTTTAGTTACTTGTTTGTATATGTTTGTATATGTTACTTGTTTGTATATGTGAATTATGTCCAAATAAATACTTTGGAATCAAAATCACTTTTTTGGAAATCAGTGGGAATTTAGGCATCTCTGTATCTGCATTAGTGCCTAGTTAAATATCTATAATGGTTTTTCTCATTGTTTTTCTTTATGGTGTTATTTAAAAATAAATTAGTAACTTTGTGCTTTCCTTATTTTAGGCTGATATTTAATACAGAGAGAAAGAAATAGAAAGATTCAGAAATATTTGAAAAGTGAAATGAATCTGTATCATTAAGGCAAATGCATTCTGACCATTTTCATTAGTAAATACTAATGAAGTGTTTACTTCATTTGTTAACGAAGTTATAATATTACAAAACTAATATTCATTTTCATACTCTATTAATGTTATAGGTATAAACTGAGTTTGAGATTCAGTTCTCATGGCATTTTTATTTAAGTCTGAAACTTGGTTTAATGCTCTCACACTGCAGAGGCCATAGGAAGAGAAAAAGGAAATGAACAACAATAACAAAAAGCATCACAAGTTCATTTATTTATTTATTTATTTATTATATTTCTATACCGCCTTTCTCCCGTAGGACTCAAGGCGGTGTACAGTCAAGAAAAAATATAGATACACAAACATCATAAAATTGCTAATTAAAATTATTATTATAACATAGTTTGGCCCAATTAAATAGAACCCAAAATTAGATAACATTTTAAAAACCTTCACATGTTCATATGTTTAGCCCTGCCTGTAGAACATCAGGGTCTTGAGGGCACGGCAGAAAGCACGGAGATCAGGGATATTTCATATCTCAGGGGGCAGTTCATTCCAAAGGATTGGAGCCCTCACAGAGAAGGCCCTCCCCCCTGGGAGTCGCCAGTCGGCATAATTTGACTGACAGTACCCTGAGTAGTCCCTCCCTGTGAGAACGAACTGGTCGGTGGGAGGCTATTGGTGGCAAAAGACGGTCTCATAGGTACCCAGGTCCTAAGCCATGGAACGCTTTAAAGGTGATGACTAACACCTTGAATCGCACCCGGAAGACCACCGGGAGCCAGTGCAGCTCATGTAGGAGAGGTGTTACATGGGCGCAACGAGCTGCGCCCATAATAATCCGCGCGGCTACATTCTGCCCAGGTGTCTTCTCAATTTATTCTTGCCCTAGTGACTTTGACAATGTTCATATTTTCAATTTGTACAAGTTATATGCCCGTATACACATTATTGGAAATGCTCTTTGAATATTTTACTTAATAGCAATACTGAGACTTGTCTTTTTTTTTTTTTTTGCATCTCTACACATTAACCATAAATATTAGGGTTTTATGAATTTTTGCAGGAATTAATCTAGAATCTGCTACTTTTGATTCTGTGCATTCCTATTTATTGTTTAATAATATGTTGCAATGTTTACAAAGTGTCTAAATACAAAGCGTTCAGAAAGGAATTAGAAGGAGGCAATCTACATGAAGTTATGGCCAGTCATGGGATCTTGCTTTTTGAATACAGTAACCAGAATTCCTTTCAAAACTGATTGCAGGAGGATTGGAGAGCAACATACTGGTAAAAGCAGGGGTGAAATCCAGCAGGTTCTGACAGGTTCTGGAGAACCGGTAATGGAAATTTTGAGTAGTTCGGAGAACCGGTAGCAGAAATTTTGAGTAGTTTGGAGAACCAGCAAATGCCACCTCTGGCTGGCCCCAGAGTAGGGTGGGAATGGAGATTTTGCAATATTCTTCCCCTGCCACACCCACCAAGCCACGCCTACAGAACCGGTAGTAAAAAAAAAAATTGGATTTCATCACTGGGTAAAAGGGTGCTTTTCAACCATATAGGAAGAATGTCTTTGAAAGATACAAGATGAGGTTAGGAATGTAGGTGTTGCTTTGGAAATTTGGATTACTGTTTCACATCATATAGCGTTGAATGTAGAAGAAATGACTAGCTGGAGAGCCATAGCCAAGCAGCAGCTGGATTTTCACATTAGTAATCAGCATGGAGTGGAATAGCAGTGGAGGAAATGAAATGTGAATGTGTACATGCACACATACACATACACAACCACAAACACAGAGACAGGCGATAAAGGATAGAAAAATGTCAAGCTCCAAAAGGGAAAAAAAATACCATGTGCATTTCCAATCTGGAAACAATTTATATTTAAATGATACTAAATTAGAAGGTTAGAAAGGGAAAATGAGCTGTATATGATTTCTAAAGTAATTTGGGTAGGGAGGGGACAAGGAAAACCAAACAAGATTTTAAAGTTTTGTGGCGCAATTAGCTGAATGTGCTGTGGAATAGACCTCAGTCAGAAAGGCATAAAGCAATCCTGCATCAACCACATTTTGTGGGCAAGTGATACTGGAAAATATGGGGAGAACTACCAGGGCAGGAAAAATAATATTGCCATCTCTTCCTGTTAATTCAATAGAACACCGTTCTCTCTGGGGCTTCTAATGGCTCTTTTACGCTTGGAATAAAAGTATATTCAAATGAAGAGGGGGTGCAGTATGAGGAAATATGGTATTTACTAAATAGTGATATTTTATTTTCTAAGATGCTAGAAAGGTTATTGGGTTATTGGAAAAAGTAAAAATATTAATAAATTCCAAAGACATCAAATAACTCTGGTCACAGAGATATTTCAAGATATTTTTTATATCCATATGGGTAGGTGAATGTTTACTACAGAGAATACAGGAACAGTTCTAACTATTCAAGAACTATCAGATGCTTTCAATAAATGTGACTTCATCATAATTTCCTGATTAGAATCAGCAAATATCAGGACAGGTTAAGAATCGCTTGGATTTGTGTATAAATTAATTCCTTTTCAAATCCTTTCTTAAGTGTAATCTTAATTTTCTTAACTGTTTTACATTAAATCTTGGCATTAAATTCTCATTTCCCCAATACTTGCAATGTTCGTTTTCTGCCACCAGTTTAGCCACCCTTTTTTAACTATACTGTGTTGGGATTCTACTCTTTCTGTTCACTTTTCCCATGCAATCTGCATCCTCAAAGTTATAACTTATTTTTTCATAGCCCAGAGAAATGCCACAAGAGGGGGGGTTTTTGGTGGGGGGCGGGGGTGTTGGTTGCCTTAGGCCAATACAGCTATTCTCTGTCATAAAGCAGTGCAGAGAAACATTGAAGTCAAAGAAAGATGTCTTCAAGGAAATAATAGAATAATAGAAGGCTTATGGAAACATCAATATTTTTAAAAAATCATTTGAATTATATTAAACTCAACATCTCCCAAGCCTTTCATTTTCATGAGGTGCTTAGGGTCAAAGAAACAGTTTATAGAATAGAATAACAGAATTGGAAGGGACTTTGGAGGTCTTCTAGTCCAACCTCCTGCTCAGACAGGAAACCCTATACCATTTCAGACAAATGGCTATCCATTCTCTTCTTCAAAACTTCCAGTGTTGGAGCATTCACAACTTCTGGAGGCAAGTTGTTCCACTGATTAATTGCCTCTCTTCCCCGTAACAATACTCCTAGACAAGACAGTTCATATTTGAGCAACTGGAACTGCCACACAAGGAGGTCAGTGCATTGCAGCACAAAGGAACAGGGCAGCCTCACTTAAGGGGATCCTTTACAAAGACTTTTTTTGGAAGCTAATCACCTTCAAAGCTCGGCACAACCTTAGTATTAATTCAAACATACTGCATAGTTGTGTTCTTCTAAATCCAGAACTATGAACCCTTAATTCATAATACACATAGTCCTTGATTTAAAACAGTTTGTTTAGTAACTCTTCAAAGTTAAAATAGTAAAGTGGTAACCGTTCAATGGCAAACCATTCAAAGTTACAATGTTTTTCACAGTTACAACCTTGGCAGCATCTCCATGATCATGTGATCAAAAATCAGAAGGTTGGCAACTGGTTCATATTTATGACTATTTCTGTGTCCGAAGGTCATGTGATCACCTTTTGCAACTTTCTGAAAAGCAAAGTCAATGAGGAAGACAGATTCACTTAACAACTGGGTTACTAACTTATCAATGGCAGTGATTCACTTACCAACTGAGGCAAGAAGAGTTGTAAAATGGAGCAAAACACACTTAACAAATGTCTCACTTAACAACAGAACATTTTGGGCTAATACATTACAGGTGGTAAGCCTAATAATTTGTGGGAGCTAAAGCAATATGCAATACCTGGAACACATATGAATACAAGGGAAATGTGCTAAATGTTATCACTGTTGTACCATGTATACTGGGATCAATTGTGAGTAGATTA